GAGCCGCGGTTGATGCTATGCTCATGCTGATGCTTCTGTCAGCTTTTCTTTCTGCCTGTCTCTTCGCCTCGCCTGAGCCAGGGTAATTAAACGCAAATTTCATTTGCATTTGACGAACGTGTCGAATTCCCACAACGGGCTGCAATCATTGTGAAACCCGCGTCGAATTCCCCACTTAAGACCACGCTGATTTGTTCTTTGCTTCTTCCACTCATTCGTTCTAGTGTCTAGTTCGAGACCTACTTACCAATCGAAGGCGGAACCAGCATTAAAAAAATCTCTTCATCAAAGATCATGAGGCGAAAAAAAGGCCGTTGGTCCGTGTTCGGTACTGTTCGGCCGGGACTTGTCGGCGTGGAATGTACATGCACACGGAGTTTTTCTAGACTCGTCTCGGCGCGGCGAATGTGGGACGATGCTAGATGCAGGCATTGCCGGTGTGATCTCCTGATGTTTTCAACCTCGAATGCCGTTCGCCGGTTCTTCCGACAAGTCCGCAAACGGACTTGGGTGATCATAAATTAACAAGTTTTCGAGCCTCGGCTAGTGGACTTGAATTACAGTAAATGACTCTCTAACTAGTGATTTTTTTTTTTTTTTTACTTTGACCCGTAGAGCTCGACCAATAATGGATCGAGTCGAGAAGAACACACGAGTTGCCCTTGAGAGTTGCACACCTTGAACCCTTTTGTCGACTTGGCCTCGTGTCGGCCACGTGGGTAGAGATGCTCCCGGCTGCACGACATACACCCTGCTTGCCTTGCTTTCTGCCATCCGCTGTCATAGAAGTGAAAGGAAAAAAGGTTGATATGGTTCCCGTTTCTTGGTGGTACTCGCGGTTGTCCTAGTGATTGCTCTATCTGTGACAACTATGAATATGCAGTGCGAGGTTGGAGTGAGGTCGTACAAGAGACTCTACTCAGGTGCATGTTACACCATCGTCTACCGTCTACTGAGCCTCGAACAAGGTTATCTCTTTCTTGACCTGTTGCATAGAGTCTGAACTTTGAAGAGATAAAGGCCCGTCTCTTTAGCCCCCACTGTTCGTTCACTCAGAGATACCGCAACCAGCCGCGATCGCCGTTGATTATCACTGCATGAACTACGGCGTGGATCTCTATTAGCTCTATCTTGTTTGGCTGACGATGAGCCGCCGACTAAGCTTACACAGGCGCAGCTTTGATCCCGTGAAACTCTATGTAAAGATGTGTGTGTGGTTCCCAAAGTGTCATCTACTGCAGAACCTTTTCCCAGCCATCAAGCATCCCTTTAAAAGATACGTCGACCTCTTGTAAGCTTAAGCTATGATTACATACTGTGCCGAAACCTTGAGAGAGGAGCGTTGCTATCGGCGTCATCAGGTTTGGTTGGCCGTGTCCTGCAGGGTGGCTTGGAGGTTCGAGAAGCTTTAGGCGACCTGCATCGAGTGGGATATTGGAATGGCGTTTTGGAGGGTGAGAGGATGGACGCCAATCGTTTGAGCCACCGGTTGGAAACTGACATGGCGGGTGAGGCTTGGGGGTGGTGACTGTTACATTGATGTGATGATGTTGATGTTTGGTCTTGGTGGTTGGGATGTTGGGATGTTGGGATGTTGAGATGTCTTGGTCAGGGAAGAAGTGCACGAAATGGCAAGAGGCTGGCCCATATCATTATAATGACGATATAAATAAATATAAGTATCACCTGGATATGTTAGGTAGTATTATTTATAAAGTGCAACTTTGAATTGTTGAGGCTGGGAATATCATCATGAGCCTCTAGGGTGGCATCACAACTCGGACCTCAACACTGGCCACCTACTTGACCAGGCAACAAAGGGGACAAACATTAGAATTAGCTGGCAACATGTCACAAATTCACGGGGCCTTTCAAGTTATGTTATGTGATTGTATTCTGACATTGATTGATACACATCGTAATATCTACACCCCATCTCCCTCTCTGACCTCGTCTACCTGCCCTACCACATCCTACGATGCTGGCCTCAACCCAAAATTCCACTACGAGATGCAGGCCAGATGAATTATCCGTCGAGATCCCCTTCTCGCCCCTGCTCAAATCGACTTTTTTTAATGCACTCCATCCGCTCGCGACCAAGAAAAAATCACCACCAACGCCATGCCGCCAAATTCGAGAGACCAATTGTCATCGGTCTCGTCGCGGTATCAAAGCTCCGGGATCGTAGCATGCCCTATAAGAAAGAAAATCGCCCGATCTCCTCGCTGGCATCCAACTCTGAATGTAGCCCCTAACCACTACTAGACAATGGCTATAGGCTCGTGACACCAAACGTTCCGAACGGTCGGTCACCTAGACGAAAAGGGCACATCAGTCGTGCCTGTCACCGTGACCCAGTAAACACCATGTCTGTCGTGTACTGGAACTGCACCAGAAAGACACTCAGAATCGTCTCTTCTGACCGACGCCGACGCCGTTGCCATTGCCATTGCCCTGCCGAGCACTGTTCTTGTACCTAGAGAGCTGCTCCTAGGCAATCTTTGGTGCAGGTACGGGAGTCACCTTTCTGCCGTTGGGGGTGGCAGCAGCCTTCTTGCTCTCCTTGCGCTTCTTAGCTCGCTTCTCCTCCTTGACCTGGCTAGGAGAGGTGGCCCGGGCGGGGGAAGAGTGAGGAATCGAGGGGATAGGCACGGCAGACTGGCGAGGGGTAGGGACAGGAGTTTCCTTTCTGGCGCTAGGAGGAAGGACGGCTTCAGCCTTGGCCTTCTTGGACTTCTTGCTGGTGCCAACTGCGGGAGAAGCGGTGGCCTTGGGGGTTGGGGTACCCGCCACTTGGCTCGAGGGGAAGACGGGAGGAAGCACGGGAGTCTGCTTGCCGGCCGCAGAGGCGGGTTCAGAGCCCAGGTCGGGGCTGCCGGTGCGTGTCGTCTTTTGCTTCTTGGACTTGCTGATGGCCGACTTGGACTCCTCCTTGAGCTGCTCCGTAACAGCAAGTGCGTCGTCCTCAGAGGCCGTGTGCTTCCGCTTGCCCTTGCGGTTGACTTCGGGGGTCGCCGCCTCGGCGGTCAGGGAGCTGGCAGGCTCAGCAACACTCTCGCCTCGCTTCTTCTGCTTCTTGCCCTTGGCAGAGGTCGAAACATCCGGGGTATCCTGTGCAGCCGCATCCTTGGACTTGCGCTTCTTGTCCTTCTTGGGAGTCTTGGTGGACACAGTGGGAGCCTCGGTCATCTCGACATCCTCCTCCCCAGCCTCATCATCTCCAATGGTGCCCATAGGTTCGTTGACGCCAATAGGTTGGTATCGAGCCTTCAGACCGGAGGGTTGCGCGCGAGGGGTGTTCTTGGCAGCAGGTCCAACAGTGCTGTTGGCGCCGAGCTGTGTAATCTTCTTGACCTGCATGACTTGGCCGACCTGCTTCGAAGCTGCTCCATACATGTTAGGAATCGAATCGCATCGAGAGTCAGTGAACGGCGAGCTTACAGGAACGGTATTGAGCGCCATCGGACGAGGGAATCAAGATTTGAATGTTGCCCTTGGGAGCAATGCTTTCGAACGAAACACCATACTCCTCGCCGTCATGGGAGAAGACGCTGTTACCCGACTGCGATTGGTTCATGGGGATCTCAAGGTTCTGAACGACCGAAATAGGGACGTTGGAAGGGACCGTGAAGTACCAGAACTGCTTGCCCTCGAGGTTGGCCTGGGTGCAGATCTCAGCAACGTCCTGGCCGCTCGCACCGTCGTCGCCCTTTCGGAGGACAAAGTCGGGAGCGATGAAGTTGGGAACGGCGGCCCGGCTCTGGACCTGGCGATCTTCGATATGCATGGACTCGTCAACCATCTCGTCGTCCGAATCCTCGGCTTCGCTAGAGGAGGAGCTGTCCGACTCGGGAGCGGCGGTCTTCTTAGCAGGCTTGGCAGCTTGCTCGTCGTCGTCGTCTTCGCTCTCACTGTCGCTAGAATCGCTAGAGCTTGTAGAGGTGGTGGGAGCGGCAGCCTTGCCGTTGACGGTAGGCTTGGCCTTGGTGTTGGGTTCGGCCTCGCTCTCAGACTCGCTGGACTCCTCGCTGCTAGACTCGGCGGCAGCCTTGGCGAGCGCATCAGGCTTTGCCTTCTCGGCCTCGCTTTCACTCTCGCTTTCCGACTCGGAGGAGCTGGATGTGGTGTCTGAAGCCTTGGCGGCGCCGTTTGTCTTTGCGTTTGCCTTGTCCTCAGCTTCGTCCGACTCGGATTCACTGCTGGAATCGCTGGAAGACTTGGGCTCGGGCTTCACAGGAGAGGCCTTCTTGGCAGAGGTTGCGCTCTTCTTCGACGCATTTCGCTCGTCGTCGCTGTCGGCGATCTCGTCATCTTTGCTGCGGCGACGGGAAGGGGTAGAAGCAGGCTTCTTGGTGGTAGAGGGAGCGGTCAGCTTGCGCAAGAAATCGGCTTGGGTGTCTTCGCCGTCGCTGCTATCACTGTCACTGTCGCTAGAGCCTTCCTCTTCATCGTCGTCATTGTTTGAAAAGATGTTGTTGGGCTCAAAGGACTTGGCCTCCTTCTTGATTGCTGCGGCGCGAGTAGCAGGACGTCGATTGTACTGTGCCTCTGCAGAGAGGCCCTTCTTTGTATTCTCGATGTGCTTGCTAAGCGAGTGTATCTTGAAGGGTTCCTTGGGCGCCATCTTTGGCGAGGTTTTGGGGGAGGATGCTCGCGAAAGAGGGTTCAATTGGTGAGAAGAGAGAGGTTGATCGAGGTGAAGATGATGCCGGCGACGAAATTTTGGGAGAGAGAGGATGCGCTAGTGGGGCACCCACTCGAGACGCGACCAGGTCGTGTAAAATTTTGGCGCTTATCGATAAGACTTTTTTGGTCTCTGATTCACTGTCAACCACCTCCAGCCACAGGCTTTCAGGCACGGCATCTTAGAATACAAGATGATTACAAAGTTGTAATATGATCATATCAGGATGTATACCTGTGCTTTAGAACCCTCTATGTTCCAGTAATTATATCAGGCGAGAGTTCTCTTTATATTGCACCCTGACAACATCTCCATCATGTCATCTCACAAGAAGCGGAGGATTGATGGTGTTGAGACACCCAAGCGTAGGTTGACCTTGCAATTGAGCCATCACTTACAGCTCTAAATATGGCCTGACACTATTCAGCTATGAGTGCTATAAGTGCTCTCGCCGCTCGTCGTCGCGAAGCAGCCTCGACTCCTCCAGCTACACAGAAAACCCCAGAGGCCAACGACGACGATAAGCCAATCGTCACCACCACCAACTATTTCAGCCCCCTTCGAAGAAGCGACAGCCAAAATGGATCCTCGCCAACTCCTAAGAAGAGTGTTTCGAAACCTTCACGCCAACAACGAGTTACTGACTCGCTTGCTGCTCATCCTAAAGCCACTGCGCTGGCAAGGTACACTATCCGCCTTTGTTCATCGTCAACATCGCTCATCGATTCTCCAGCAATACTCCGGGTACTACAACTCCCGAATCCACTGTATCTCCTCAACGTGTGATTCAGTACTCGTCTTTTCGTCTGTCGAAACAGAACCACCGGACCAAGTCTGGGGGCGTGGTAGACCTGCGGCTCCCTAACAGCGAGGTATGTGCTCTATTTGCGAGTCGAGAGACTGAAGCCAACACTAGCAGCGGTTTATGGTGATTGGGAGCTTCGGAGTTCGTGTAGTTCAAGGTGAGGTGACCTTGGCCGGTGCCACTCTGCGTCCCTCAGAGACAATCGAATGGGTTCACGCTCCTCATTGCCATGCCATTCCGGTGTTGAGGACTACGGAGAACACGAGATTGGAGCTTCATCCAGATTCAAATTCGCGGGGCCTACGCCAACTTAGTCGCATCTCTCCTCTATTCAGGAGAATGTGGAACGAACCCTCTGAAACAGGCTCGGGGAAGAAAACTTCAAGGGAAGCCACTTTCCAGATTGTGAGTTATTGTACAGTCTCTAGAAATTCTCCAATTAACAGATATATCCAAGATATGTACCTCGGAAGATGCACCTAAGAAGTGTATACTCCAGGACCTGGTCTCCCCTCCCGCATGGAACAAGAAGCTGGCTTCTTTATTATCAACAAGTCGCAAAAAGCCCTCTCTTTCAACGCTAGTATGCGGCCCAAAGTCGTCAGGAAAATCTACATTTTCTCGACTCTTTGTGAATCGACTAGTAACTGACCGGCCCCCAAGTCATGCTCCGAAGAGGGTTGTGGTTCTCGACCTGGACCCAGGACAACCGGAATATGCGCCAGCAGGGACCCTGTCACTGGTTGTAGTCACGAAACCGAACTTGGGTACACCTTTCACACACCCTGGTGCCAATACTCCCGCCTTTAATATTCGACGCTGCCATTCTATGGCCTCTGTTACCCCTGCTTCAGACCCAGACCTCTACTTGGCATGTGCCATGGATTTGTTTGATACCTACCGCAAGGACTTGGCCGACCTGCCACTTATCGTCAATACTCCCGGGTGGATTCTGGGAACGGGCTTAGATCTACTATCAGAACTGATCGAAAAAACGAGCCCAGGGGAAGTGTTATACATGTCAGAGGAAGGCCCTTTGGAGACAGTTGACGCCTTACGGGCTGCCACAAAGACAGCATTCACAGAACTTCCCTCCCAGCAATCCGAGTTCACTTCTCGAACGGCCGCACATTTGCGAGCGATGCAGACGATGTCTTATTTCCACCTCCAAGAAATGGCTACAAGCTCACCAGAAGGATCAAAACTAACCACGTCAACAAAATGGAACCCGTCGCCTCTCTCTTGCAAGCCTCCATTGCTTGTCAAGTATTCATCGCCAACCCGCGGAATCCTAGGCTTTTTATCCTACGACTACCAATGTCCCCCGGAACTGTTGGCAGATACAGTAAATGGTCTGGTATTGGCGGCAGTGGAGATTGAAGATACCAGAGCTTTCTCTGGATTTTCGTCAGAAAGCTTATCGAAAGAGATCAGCCCCAGTAACATGGACGTTGATATCGGTGGCCCTGTGCCGCTCATCTCCACGACCCCCGAAGGCCTCCCGTTTATACCCAATTACGACGATGCCGCTTTAGATCCCCGGCACTCTCGGACCATTGGACTAGTCCTTCTACGGGGCATTGATACCAAGTCAAATGCCCTTCAACTGATCACTCCTATTCCTCTAGAGGAGTTCAAGCGTGCTAGGTCACAAGGAAGGCACATAATCCTGCTTCACGGTAAATTCGATGCTCCGAGCTGGGCATACACCGAAGACCTCTATGAGAAAGCGGGTGCGGATGAGGGAAGCAACGATGTGCTTGAAGTTACGGATGAAGATACAGAAGACGACAGCTCGGATGCTGAGCCGGAAGCGGCAGCGAAAGTCAGTGACTTGACAGAAGTTCCCTGGGTAGAGATTCTGAAAGGGAGCGACAAACGGCCTGTAGGGTCTCGAGTATGGAGGGTGAGAAGGGACCTCGGTCGCAACAACACAGGAGACTAGTTCCACTCTCATTGGCAACACGCTTGCTTAGAGATCGGCGATGCTGATGGTGGGCATCAGACCGTTGAGGGTGGGCCGCCAGCATCGGAGGCAGAAGCGTGGTGGAGACTGTTCGGAAAATTATACCATGTGGCCAACTCGGCCGGGGGAATTGTAACAGTGATTTGGCTTGGAATCATTGGCCAGAAGGTGAAATATCTGCTTGAACAAGCCATGGTTGGACCCGTAGGGCCTTGGACATGTGGGATATCCCCCACCGACAACTTGGCGATGGCCGCACCGTTGGGATCAGCAACATGACATTGCGATGCTGAAGAGATGGGAAAATGACATTTGCATGTTGAATAGTTGTACCAATGGTACCGGTGCTGTTGATCGTTGGAAACCCTTCACCGACTATGCTCATCTAATGCAGGATGTTGATCAGTACAACACCATCTCCAAACTTCTGACGAGAGAGAGCCGACAGGACAAGTTCTTTGCGACCCAGTTAAGAGGACAAAGTGTTTCACAAAGCGGACATCTGCTTAAGTAGGCTTATGCACGAATGGGCTGGTTCTGACAGGACAAGAGCCTGGATATGCAGCCGTGGAGCGGCTGACAAGGGCCCAGCATGAGATTGTATATGAGTCGTCACTTTGCCATTACAGCACGCGGGGCTAACTTTAGCGCTGAGAGATCAGCCGTCTTAATAGCGTGATGGATGTCGCAGATGGACGTTCCACTCGAGACTGTTCTTTGCTCTTTGCCCGTCCCAAGTCCAAAGCTGAGAACCCTTGGCTGTCGACTTGGCATGAGTTGTGGATGCTACGAGAGAGACGGGCGTTGTGGCGGTTACACTGTGGACGCGGGAACTAGCTAAAATCAGGCCATTTGATGGATTCTAGACTCGCAAAAGATGCCATTGTCTACTAAGACATAAATAATAAGGCCATTCGTGATTCCACCATTGTTTGAGATGAGTGATTTCCCGTCTCTCACTCTTGGATCGTCTTGGTCTACCCTTGACTGACCTAGTTAGCCATGCATTGGTTAGGTAGGTTACATTGGATCTAATGCCAGCCCAAGGCCACTCTGCTGACCATCGATGACCTTGCCATAGACTCCTGGCCTCGCAAAGGGAGACACAGGCAGGCACGCGAGGAACCGGCTGCATGCTCGCCCCGCTTCCCAGAAATTATGGCCTGACCCGATAATTGTCGGGGTTCTGGGGGTTCTTTCGGACCATTCTGTCAGGATCCTGAGCGCTGAGGGCTGCGAGAGATCGAGATGTGGTGCGTTTGCTGCGAGCCTTGTGGTTCTTAACTACAGGAAGCCCGCGCCTTCCTCTGACCACCTGAAAGAGAGGTGGTTTCCCTTTTCTACCACAACCTCCTGCCCTACCTTCCTCCCCACAGAACCTCGCCCCTTGGGAAGGAAGGAGCCTCATTCTATCTCCAACTCGAGTCAAGTCGACTTGGGCAACGATCTTCAACTCTCACCTCTTCTATTTGTTCTCTCTCCTCGTCGCCCCCAACAAATGGTTCGATTCTCCACCGAACGCCCCCGTATGTCCCAAGCTGCGTGTCGCCAATCGAAAATGGTCATCTGCATGCGCCCTCTTGCTTGGGGGACGGAGCTTGAATGTCCAAATGTACTGTACACTTCCCTTGCGTACAGTACTTGACTTGGACGTCTAATGCTTGCACGGCTAGAGAGCCTCGTTCAAGTCCGGCTGACCGGTGCTATGCCTCGGGCTGACTACAGAGTAAGACCGCCATGTACAGTCTGAGACCATGGCGCCTAGGAATTGCAGCAGTTCAGCCCAGCTGCATTGTCAAGGAGATGGGGTGCAAAACTCTTCAGGGCCCCTGCCTCCGATAGGGCAACCATCCATAACTTCGAAGCGAGTGATCCACGGACTCTGGGGGGCCGGCTGGAGCCGCCGAACCAGCCGGGCTGGTTACGGTGCTGTACCGAACCCTTCATGCTGCGAAATAACCTACAGACGCAGCAACCGCTACACAGCGACAGCGGCAAGTCTGTACTTGCACAGAGGTCCTGACCTCGAGTCTACACAATGTTGTGCGAGTCTGCGGCACAGCGGCATCCCGTTACCCAATGGCAATCCTCATCGACAAGGTCTCGAGTCCTGCTGAACTGGAACCCCAGGCCAGAAAAAGCACTGTGCAAGCGTTTGCCTCAATGTTGCGGACAGAGAGTATGGATCACCATCTGGCAACAACCCTGACTCCTCCGTCTTCAGAGGTATCCAGCCACGCGTGATAGCGTGCCCCCAACCGAGGCCACCGCAACGGCGCGTCGTTACTTGGCACTAGCTTGAACTTCGAGACCAAACATCACTCATGTTCGAGCATGGAACTGTTCCACCATGATGACGTCCGGGAGCATGGCTGGGCGCGTTGTTGGGACATCTCCTATAGGACCGGACGACAGAGACGTGCATGGCGGTTGGCGGATAACATTCCCCGCCTGGCCCAAAGCTGCAGCAAAATGGGTAGTGGGATGAGAAGGACCCTCGAAAGGAGAAGCTGGAACGATGGCCTGGCCGATCTTTGAGCCCGCGCGAGCTTGGCGATCAACGACTGTGCGAAAGACGCCGTGTACCGTTCCAAGGACAATGCATCTCCGGCGGCTATGAGGACGGTTGAAAGGGAGAAGATGGGCTGCGGCTGAAGTGCTCGATTGGCATGCCCAGGACCGGTCGACGCCGGCCACGATAGCGGGGGATCATTCAGGGTTGGGGGTTGAAGACGCCGGAACGAGAAACGAGAGACATTGGTGGATCTGTGCAACGAAACGACATGATGAATTGAAGTTGGATGGATGTGCGGATGTGCGTGAGGGGCGGCTTTTTTCACCTTTTCAGTCCTTGTTCAGTCAGGGTCATTCCCCGGAATCGACAGAGGCGACAGGCTTCAGGTTTGTGTGTCTGATGGCCAAGCAACCATGGGAATCAACTAACTGGGTTTGCCACAATCCTGGCCAGCGCTTGGAGGCTGCAATGTTTGCTTCGTCTGCTATGCTGAACAATTTTATGTTGTTGCGAGGAACAATGCTGACCAACGAGCTGCCTTGGGTTTCCCGAGGCTTGGCTCGATAGCGCTGGACAAGCGGGACTCACTCGACGGGAAGAGCCGTCAACACCGGTGACGAGTTGGTGGAGGAGTAGACGGCGAGGGATGCACTGGGTTGAGGTTCTCACAATGGAGTGAGTGAGCATAATGCATCCATCTTGCAGTCTTACTTGCTTGGTCGACTCGCTCGCTTATCTCCTTGGATCTTGCTCATCCCAAGCCCCAGGCTCAATCAACAGGGGCCAACTCGACTCGCCTCGGCAAGAAATTGGCAACCCCCAAAACGCATCGATGCATCTCTTTCCCGTGTGCCACCCACCTGATGGATCTGCAGCCGGGCTGATGCATCTTAGCAACGGTCGATTAGTACTTCTCCACTTCGACCCATCACCAGCTTATTTGCCTTGACTGCCCGGTCCCTGGTGGCCATATCACTTTTTGTGTGCCAGGCCAGACGTTCTCCTCGCGCTGATTCCTCCTACGACGCTTTCTCCGCATCCTATCAGCCCACCTTCATCGTCATTTGGCTACTCTAAACTCAACTTCGCTTTGTTCACGTCCAAATCGACACAAACCATCAACTCGTAGCCAGCCAGCCAGCCAGCAGCCTCGTGCATGCGTCATGGGAGACGAAACCCAAAAGGAGAGCAGTTACCGGTCGGCGTGCACGGAGTGTGCACGCCGTAAGCAAAAAGTAAACCCGCAAACATTCCCCCTCCGCCTTTCGTTCCCATGTTCTAACCGTCTACCTAGTGCAACCGCGAATGGCCTTGCAACCATTGCCAGAAGCGCAAGGTTGCCGATAAATGTCGCTTCAAGGACGCCAATCACCCTGCTTGCGAAAAGGCCGCCTCGGAGAACCTGAGGAAGCGTCGACTGAATAACGAAGGCAGCACCGAGTCAGAGGATTTTGACAGTGAGGATCTAGATGGTGATGGTATCGATGCTTTGGGATATATGCCTGGCCATGTGCTCTTTGGCCTCACGTCTCAGGCCGAGGTTTGCGTCCCTCCCCTTGCCATGGAGCATGGGCTTTGCCAACTAACGCGTTTTGCCTCCTCAAGATCATCAAGGCATCAGCCCGAGAGTTCTTCAAGGACCCAAAGATCTTTCCGCAGCTGGAGCGGGCTCTGCAGGTTATTCCCCCAAGGCCGTACACCGGTAAGCACCCCATTGCACCCTCTGGTCGAACTCCCACCTCTAACGCGGCCACAGACATCCTTGTTCAGAACTTCTTCAACAATGCCAATTTCCACTACTATCTTATCTACCCGCCTTCCTTTTTGGAGCAATACCAGTTGTGGTGGGCTGCCCGCGGTGATAACCGCCCCCTGAGCGTCCAGTGGACCTCCCTCCTCCTCACGGTTTGCGCATGCTCGGCGCAGTACACCGATATCAACTTGCAGAGGAAACTCGAAGTTGACCTGGGTGACACTATCCAGAGGCTGACGGAGCAGTATCATGAAGCTGCCCGTGAGCTGGGAAGCGCCGTCCCCATTGGCTACAGCCACCTTAGCAGCGTCCAGCAGCTCCTCCAGTCGTGCTGCTGGTACAAGTCGGAAGCTCGCTTTATCGAGTGCTGGCATGTCCTAAACTCGGCTATCCGAGAAGCTCAGGAGCTCTGTATGTCTTGAGGTTCTCACACACGTTGCCGGCTACCAGCTGACGGTTTTTCTCAGCCATCCACCAAGAATCAAAGGCCGATCCAGTACCAGAATTCGAGCTGGAGATGCGACGGAGACTCTGGTGCGTCATGGACACATTCGATTGGTAGGTTTAAGTTGTGACAACTCCTTCTGCTCTCCCTGGTTGGATCTTGGCTCATCTCTCTAAGGCAAATCTCGGGTCTTCTAGGCAGGCCTAAGCTCATCGACCGAGCTGACTGCGACGTTGGTCTTCCAGACCTCGGTCTGGAGGGGACGCCGCTATCACCCCTGACATACATGAAGCTGCAGTCGAACCTGATTCGGCAACTGTTTGGTCGATTTGGCCTCACCAAGAATGTTGTTTCTACAGAAGATGTCCAGGAATACCAGCGAATGATTGAGGCATGGATTGAAGACTTCCCTGCTCCTTTCCAGGCTCACAACCCGGACAAGTCCTTGGATGCATCGTACCCATGGATTGTCTTGCATCGCCACTACCTCCGGACAATGGCATTTTCTATGCTGCTCGACCCAATTCGCGTCTTCCTCGCCCGGCCGTTCACCATTCGCTCATCTGAGGCTGAGCTTCAGATCCGTAGCGGTGGTATCAACTACTGCCTAGAGCTTATGGTGTCCCTACGTGGATTTTTTGATTACGTGTACCCCCGCGACGCCAAATTCCACTTTGTCTTGTTCTGCATCTTTGATACGGCGACTGTTCTCTGCTCGGCAGTTCTCCACGATCAGTATCACACCATTCCACGTCGGGAGGATGTCTTCAAGGCCATCGACGAGGCGCATGACATGCTGCAGCGTCTGCGCACCGTGACCAAGTCGGCCAAGACGTCGTTTGGTATACTGAACCGTATCGTTCAGCGCCTACCTCGAACAGTCGTTACACCAAAGGTGGCGACGGGTAGCCCTTCGAGCAAAAAGACACGTCTCGGCGAGGCTGCGGCGTCGCCCCAGACGGTTTCTCACGAGAGCGTTTCCGCCTCTTTCACGCCCCAACCCACGACGACCATGGCTACATCCATGACATCGATAGCGACTCTTTCGTCTGTTGGTATTCCTGCCTGGTCCGGTTTGCCTAGCGGCACCAACAGGGATGCCGCTGCTGGTGTGGATGTTGCACCCACCCCCTTTATCGAATGGCAGCCACAAGTACCCATGCAAGACCCAGCCAACTTTCCCAACAGTCAACTGCCTCCCTCGGATGCGGTTTTTGCCAGCATCTCGGACGAGGAGCTTGGAGAGTTGGCAAGCCTCTGGAACTACCAATCCCTTGATTTTAGTTTCATTAACCCATAAGTCTTCCTTAAAGGCGGGTGAGGGCTATGGAGATCATGGGTCCATGGTCGAAAAACTTCACAGGACGCAACAAGTTGTGTTTTTTCTACTCTTCATGTTTTTCCCTGGGAAAAACAGGCGCTGGGTGTTGACGACCCTCAGCCACTCAGACACAACATTGCCTATTCCTTGATCATGATGGCATCGCTGGTGAAGGCGGATGGTTACACGCGTACGAGCTTCCCTGCTTTGGGTTGTGCTAGACGTGTCGGCCTTGGAAGGCATGATGCCGGATTCATGGTCAAAGCAAGCATACCCAAGGCTGAGTGGTGGAGGGGAGTCAACCAGCTGGCACGGGTTGATTACTGAATGATTATGAGCAACGCACAATGAACGGCAACGAGTCATGAGTCTATTAGGGCGGAGTCTATTAGGACAGCGGGCGTTGGCATTGGGGAGAAAAGGTCGTGTATGCTATTATGGGGAAACTTCCTCGAGGAATCGAAAATGTGATATTTGTCCCGTTGGGATCTGGCGTTGGGCATCTATGGATGAAGGTAGATTGCCACCCGTTGATCTGTGGAGAGTGACATTTACTGACTTGGGGCGGTCTCTACATCCCCGGTCGACCGGCCGACCACGTATCATCCATCGTGGGATGCCTGCAGCATGAGACACGTTGAGCCGCAGATATGAGCAATGCCTTCCTTTACAGCCGTCTTTTTATTCTATTCTGTCATATGCAACATCTATACTAAGTCATGTAACGTAATATAAGCATTCCAACATGAACATTTCGCAAATACAAAACCATGACGGGTCGTCCCGTTTCAGAAACCGTAAATTACCAACCAAAGGGCCCTGGGGTTTTGGAGAAATGAAATGGCGTCGTAGCGTGATGGTCAGACATCCGGGGGTTCAACCCTGGCGCCTTAGGCTGGATCCAGCCATGCAGTCGTATTGGATAAGAATCCATGAACAGCTCTGTGCATGATGCGGAGACAAAGTGCGCGATCGAGTGCCTCTCGCGGAGTCTTGAAAGAGGCGCCAAGGCATAGGCAGCAGGGCGATAGTTTGATGGCGAGGCCATCGACAGTGGCAACGTCGTCTCGAGCCAACCATTCATTAGTCGGCAGGGGGCCACTTCCAAGGATTGACCTGTCGTTTTGGCGAGGCGGCTCAGTGTACTCGTGTCTCGATGGATCCTGGATGTGCCGGCGATGCAGAAGCAGCTGTGATTGGCCAAGTGTAACCCAACGGTAAGTGGTCTGCGGTGATAAATACTGAGCGCTGCCCCCCTCTCCTTTAGGCTTTATCCCTCGTTCATCTGAACCCTCGTCAATGTCGGTTCGATATGGCATCGTATCGTCGCAACTCCGTTATGAGAATGACGCCGTGAGAATTGATGGCAAGATCCTCGTCGCTCGACTTCCCGCCTTATCATCGACACAACATCGTTTGGCAGCCGTTGATTCCCTGCCACACTCCTGAAGCTCATGTAGCAGCCTTGGCTACAACGACATCGATGACGATCCGCGCCCAGGACAAAGAGCCACTGGTCTCTCGTCCTGCTTTGACCAGGACAAAACCAACCCATGAATCCTTGAGTTTGATTCATGGCATATGAGGAGCCATTGAGTAGCTTCATCCCACCTGACACGCTCATCTCACTCATCCCGCCCATCCCTCTCTCCCCTTATTCATTTCCACGTCACAAGGATGTGTTCTTTGAAAACGAGACATGCCAAAAAAGCCAAACCCAAAACAACCCTCCCGGTCTTTCTTAGCCAAGGAAAAAAAGAGGAAAAAGCGAGAACATCGAGGATACATGCTAGATGCGGACGTTTCATCATGCCATGAAGGATGATAAGTCATCATCTTCATGCATCATGCTGCGTCATATCTTGGCTCTCGTCTTTCGCCCAGTGGCACCTTGGCCTTGAAGCCCTGAAAGCAAAGAGCTTCAAACATGTTATAACAAACCCAGAGGGCAAGAAAAAAAAAACGAGGGAGCGGCTAAAACAAACAAACAAAGAAAACTGATCCGCCGCGTTTAAGAATCGAATAGGGACCGGCCCAATCAAGTTGAAGTCGAAGTCGACGCCAACCAACACCCTCTACTACCCCAAAGGCATACAGCCATGAAGACGAGGATTGCGAGGGCTGGGCGCCAGTGATTGCTTACTTATGTTAGCAGGGACGACATATGCCGACATAAGAGAACGCTGACGAACCAGACTAATCAGGCTGCGAACCGACTGTGGTCAAGGGCGACTAAGCCTGCGCAACATCACCCTGACCAGCTGGCGGTTGGTACGCTGCCATGCTTGCCTCGAGATCTCCAAGGTCTGCTTCAGCCTGATCGTTTCCACCGGGACCGGGACCTTGATCTTCGACGCGAGCATAGATCCGAGCAAAGACGTTGTCGTGAGAGTACCCAGCCACTCTGGCCTCCGACGTGCCATGTTGTTCTGCGGGCCGAACGTTTGCTGCAATACTACGAATACCATGCTTGTTAGCAGCCTGCAAGATTATGGCTAGTCCTAACGACCTAAAGACCTATCGACCGACCGATCGCTGGTTGAGCGAGGCGACTTACTCTGCGGCTGAGCCCTGTTGAGCATCGACAGACGACATTCTGTCCGTACGATGATAGTTCAAGGGCTTGGATATGGAATGTCGCCGACGAGCACGGTGGTGAGGAGGTGGCAGGCGGTGGCGGAGTAGCAAGTGGTTGAGGGACAGGAAGAGGAGGAGGAGGAGATACCGGGCGGCGTGGTGACGGTGGAGGTAGCGTCGGGAGCGGCTGAGGAGCGGCTGGTGGTGGTGGTGGGACGATGTCGTGGGTAGGCCGGAGAGGAGTGAGGCGGTGGGAGAAGCTGAAGCAGAAGAGGGGATGGAGAAGGGGAGGAGGGCGAGGGCGTTCTGGGTACAATGGTGGAGGCGGAACCGAACGCAATCACGACGCACTCAATGAATGAACGAAGCGATCGATCGATACGAACGACCGACGAGAACGAGGACAATAAGCTGGCGCCGAAGATGGAAACAACGGATGTATTGAGAGTCTGAGGAGAGGAAGGAGTATAGTATATGGTGAGGTAAGCTCTCGGTATTGTCGAGGTCTGTCTCCGTACGCTGGTTTGCGGTGATGCAATGCGGCCGTTGGTAAAGGCAGGTAGGTATCGGAGCTGGGCTTAGACTCCCGACAAGTTGAAGCGAAGAGACGAACAAGTAATGTAAAAAATGGTTGTAGAGAAGGCTGAAGAAGGATGGTAGGCCGCGATAGTAAAGAAGTCAGTGGGGTCTATATACTTTGTCGCGATGGAAAGTGAGGAAGGATAGAGCGAGCTCCAAAATCTAGGAGGGTCGAGCAATGATGGTGTTGGAGGGGGGCCCAGCGCAGACAGACAGACAGGGATTCCCGCACTTTACCAGGGCAGGGACCGGGGGTCCACCCCAACCCGTCAGGGCGTGGGACAACTTGGCCGCAACTGCCCTACTCGGCACCTCCAAGCTTACCTACCTAGTTATGGACCCTCGTGGGAATTTGACGCCGTGGTAGGGCCCGGGTATTTGGAAGTGTTGAGTAGGTAGGCTTGGTGTGTGCTAGCAATTCGTCGGTGTGAGAATTTGACATTCGGGCTGCCTGGTGCCAGATCTCGCTCGCGGGTTGCTCTGCCTGGGGTTCCAATCTGAGCGACGTCCTTTCCTGGGCTGTCCATAGGTACTGGATTACTTACCTAGGTACCTGCCTAAGTATCTAGATATCCATACAAGCGACAGATGCAAGGCTATTGTAAACCTTTTATGTTCATCTGACTCCTAGGTAGCCTGTATTCTGGCAGTAGGGAGGTGCATATAATTGTAGGTATTTCCTAGTGATCCCTGCATTGGACAGGTGGTTCACTCTCCCAGTCCTTCCAGCGCAAAGACCCGGCGGTTTGGGATCCGTTCTCCTTGTACTTTTGTACCGTGCTGCCCCGTGCCAATCTTCAATCGGAATGGAATGTCTGCTCGCTCTTCTCTCTGCCAGGCATTGCCCATGATAGGTACGCTCATCCCCCAAGTCCAACTGTCCAGCAGCCTCGGCGGGCTGGCACCACTCCCCCTTTCCTGAGCGCTTGCACGCCCCGGCGGGATGATGGCATGGGGAGTGGATATCATTCTGCTTTGGCGCACACCCAGACAAGCTACGTCGACGAGCTGCCCATGCCCTCCTTCAATCTTTCTTTGCTCCTCTCACCATGGTGGTGCCAGGGGGGTGGGTTGTGGGGACTCAGCGCCGATCCTCTCTGAGTCTCCAAAGCCGCTGTCTTGAGCCCTCTCTGCTCCATGTTCGCTGGCTTACTCGACTGCATCATGGCCCGGGACCGACCCTTTCCTGTGAGCCTGGCCTCCACTGGCTACTCGCATCTCCCCGTCTTAAAGAAAAAGAAGGAGAAAAGACACCGAGGCTAATTCCATCGAGTACACCTAGAACAGGCCTGCCCTCCCTGTAATTATGCCGGCTGCCTTCTGAACCTATGTCGTCCACGCAAGGTTTGGCAACGCCTTAAACAGAACGGTTTGGCTTGCACAGCCACAGCCACGCTTGAGCACCGCCCAACTTGCTTCAAGTTTTGTGCCATTCGACTGTTTCTTTTCACTCTAACCTCGAGCTGACCCCTCAAGAACCAGAACGGCACACTAGAGGCAGAGATGCAGGAATACCTTGTCAATTGATTCACTGACTTAAGAAAACAAGACCTGATCTGCCATTTTGCGTATCGCCCGCATCTGTGGCTGGTGTCCCTGCTATCCCTGCACACCCCCCTGCCCCATGCATTTTAGATCCATACGCGAACTACCGGTATGATGCGGGTGTGGTAGGGGTGTGTCCGTCCGAGACTGACCCAGAGGGACGGAGGAGGCTTCGAGGCCTCGCGAAAAGTCTTTGGACCGGAAGACCTGTGCATCATTCTTGGAGGGATGCCAAGGTGCTTCGTCAGCGCGCGGTTCTTCTATCTCCCAGTATCGTCGCGCTTTAGCTTCAGAACATCTGTGGCCCTAACCCAGCTCGGGGGTCGGACCATGATCCTGGCCTGCCAGCTTGAGTACGGAGTACATACAGACCGTTGCTTCTTCAGCGGCAGTCCATCCGAGTCCAAGTGAAGTGAGCCAGCTTCTCCTCACACACTCCCTGCCAACCTCCACACCCGTGATTACCATCCCCTGCCTGCCCTAAGTCAGACTTAGATCCAGTCTTGGATCGAGGTGACGAGAGTACTCCAGCAGATTTACCAATGGGCCTTCTACGCAGAGAAGCAGCGCGTACGGAAGACGCTTTTTTGGTCAGTTCCCTCACACCCCTCTTTAGACGTCCTTCCGCCGCTTGGACTGCTGGGCGCCAAAAAGCGCCCCAGACGGCTTCGCGAGAGAGCGGGGCGGCTCAAGGCTCAGGTAGAGGAGGCTCTTTGACAGCTGCCAGACGCTCAGTCTGCGATGTGATGACGAGATCTTCCGCGTTGGCAGCTTCAGCAGCCGTGCCGCCAGACACTGGGATTGACTT